TACGTTGTACCGGCTACCACTGGTACGTTTTTACCCGGGGTTTCCACTCGGTACGTTGTTGCGGCTACCACTCTGGTACGTTGTTGCGGCTGCCACCCCGGTTGGTTGTTGCGGCTGCCACCCCGGTTGGTTGTTGCGGCTGCCACTCTGGTAGGCTGTGGCAGCCGCCACCGGGGTAGGCTGTGGCAGCCGCCACCCGGGTAGGTGTGGCAGCCGCCACCCGGGGTAGGCTGTGGAGCCGCCACCCGGGGTAGGCTCCTGTCGTCACTGCTCACTGGACGAAGGGAGAGGGTTGGACGTCTCTCTGTCCAGTAGACCTACTGCAGTACTTTGTTTTGAATCTAATTTTTAGGATAACTGTTCCTGTGATTTCTTCTGAAAGCATCATTGTCTGCATCATTAAAATTTCAACATTTTGAAAAATTTTTTTAATTGTATGTAGACTAAAATTGAGCATACCCCTTCAGATGCATTGATGCTGGTGATGAGTTTTAATAAATGCACTGAGAAACATTCAGAGGAGGATGGCAAAGATGATGCCATGTATCAGAAATCTTTCCTGCAAGGATTTCTGTGGGGCCCTGAATCTGCATTCTAGAAAAAAGTAGAAATAAAGGGGATTTTATTGAGGTGAATAAATGGAAAACAGGAATAAGTAAAGGGGATGTAAATAGCTTGCGAAAAATATCTAGCCTAGACAGGACTCGCAGCATTGGTTTTAGTTGAAAAAATTCAGATTCAGACTGGATATAAGGAAGCACTGGTTTGGTAATAATTGTGGATTAATGAAACAAACTCCCGAGTACAGTCATCGAAGCTAAAACGTTGTTAGTTTTAAAGAGGTTAGATAAATTCACGAGTGTGGGTGGGTGCGAGTTGGACTAGACCAGCTTTTTCTCTTGGTTCTGATACTGTGCTCCTTAGTGGAAGTGAGCTGAGCTGGCTGGGTTGGGCTATTGGCTTAAACTGTATGTATGGGCCAGTAGGCCTTCAACAGTTCTTACGTTATCCTTTACACATTTTCCCATGCATTTATATCTATTCTGTTAATGGCCAAAACTGCAGTGTAATCTAAACGAGGCCTGACCAAATTTAAAGTTTAACCTGAAGACTCTTATTTATGCTTCTTGATATGAAGCCAAGGATTCTGTTCACTTTATTGCGAACACTTGCACTGTTGTCTTGGTTTTAGATTAGTGTACTAACCAGATCTCCCAAATACTATTTGGAATCTACTTTCGTTAGTTATTTTCCTGTCCAATATTTAGAACTTTGCATTTGTCTATACTAAACTGCACTGCCACCTCTCTGACCACTGCATCAGTCTCTTCAAATCTTCCTGGACTGCTCTAATGTCCTCGTCAGAATAAATTCGACAGTCTCTTTTGGTGTCATCGACAAACTTGCTTATGTCACTATTTATGCCCTCGTCTGTCATTTGTAGATTGTGAACAAGGGGTCCAACACTTACCCCTGTGGAACACTGCTCATGATACTTCCCCACTCTGATTTCTCCTATTTACATAAACTTTGTTGCCTGTCACCATGCGTCTATTGAGGAAAATATTTCTAACGTGTGCCTTAATTTTCCTCGGTAGTATCTGATGTGGGACTCTTCAAAAAGCCCTCCTGAAACCCGTTTACACAATGTCATGTTCATTACTATGATCTACCTCCTCAAATATCTTGGTGAAAAAAGTTGTTAACTTCGTAAGGCAGGAGCACCCTTTCGTAAAATCTTGCCAAGATCCATTAATCAATTTATGCCTTTAAAGATGGCTACAGATTGCCTTGGCAATTGATTCCATAAATTTTCCCACTATGGAGGTTAGGCTTATTGGTCTATAGTTCAAAGCTTAGGACCTCTCACCTGCTTTGAAAATAAGTACAGTGGTACCTCGGTATGTCCTTAATCCGTTCCAGGACCTTAGACATGTGTATACTAAACAGGACATATACCAAGTGAATTTTCCCTTAAGACTTGTAGGGAAGATGATTAATCCGTTCCCGTGAAAAAATCCTGTTAATGGTATGTTACACATTGATTGGGTTGTATAAAATTTAAACACTGCTTAATACTAAAATACATAAATACAAAAGAATTTTTTTTTTTATATTTTATTTAAAACTCTGGTACAAAATATATGGGTACATAATCAATATGTAACAAGATACAGGCAGTAAAACGATAATCTTCAGTTACTACACAAATACCAAAGAAGCACTTATATAATGACTTCAGACTGGCTGTTGCACTCCAATCAAACACTACTTTTATGTACTGTACTTCACATGAAAAGATGGTCTTATAAAAAAAGTCTTACCTAGTAAAGCTTACACTCCCCCCCTCCCCCTTGAAAAACTACCACTTTCTCCTTAGTATACTCATTGACATCTCTTATACATTTATAAGAGCTTTAAGGACTTCATTGACAACATGTTTAAAACACAATCCTGCCATCTAAAAGGCTGACTATAATACAAGGAATATCTGAACATGATGGCACACATCCACTAATGAAACCAATCCACACCCTAACCCTCGTATACCTCATGATAATCAATATAGTGCACGGTGGTGGGTTTAATACACTACCGATGACTCTTCAACCCCCCCCCCCCACTTGCCTAGTAACAATGTCTGCCGTCACCACTCATAACCACCTTCAGTTATTGAATTTAAAAATACATTAGAATACAATAAAATAAGGGAATATAAGAACCCCTTATCGACTCCAAAGAAAAATAAATTTTTTTCATTTTCTAAATACATACTGCTTTATCTTTGTGCTTACAAAATATCCCCCATCCCCTATACTTTTTATCTCTTGAGTCCAAAGCTAAAACCTTGTTATACATTTCATCATTCAAAATTATATTACAATAAGCATAATAATATAAATACTTATCTGGCTAATAAGTGTACATTATCACCCTGATTTCCATGAAATTTACATAAGAATTAATACATATATTGACAATCCTCACAATCCTTCCTGCCTTCTAAATACAGTGTACATATCAGTGACCTTTCGTTATGATCCAATCATATTTACATTACACTTCTTTTCCCCAGTGCAAGATAAAATCCACTTGCACTAGACGTCACAACACATTACATTTGTTCGTATAAAATAAGAACTAACATAATAACTTATAACAATATATAGATAGCAATTATTTGACAAAGTAAAGAATACCAACTAATATGGTAACAGTACACTAGAAATTGTAAATCACTCACTAATACATATTCCCATTTTTTATGTATTATCATGTTCAACAAGATATATATATTTATTAACAATGTTCCAGAGCATTATCAGACTTACTGTCATGCACTAAGTTACACAATATAACTTATGGCTCCTAATAAAACATGTACTGGTCAGTACTACCTCAATCATTAACAACACCAACCTGGCAAAAGACGCTTCAGAAAGCCACCCCCTGCCATCCCCTGACCCCATGCTATCTGTATTAAAAACCACACTCGCATTCCCTTCCATGCTCAAGTTCGTACCTGACGTCGAAAGTCATAAAACCCGTCTCTTAACCAAATGTCACCAGTTCACCCCCCTACGCCCCCCCCCTCATTCCTAACTACTTTACATCCATATGCTCCACTAATACAAAAGAATTTGATGAAATAAATGCAAATTTAACCTTTCTTTACTTAGCTGTAGAGTTGAGTGCCTACTAGGATAGTGCTGAGAAGGGAAGAAGAGGAAATGTTATTGTTTGGAAGTCTCCTTCTCTTTAGTCTCTTCCCTATTTGGACCTGATTGAAGTTCCCCAGGTTTGACTTTTACTAAAAATCTGCCCAAAGATCTTTGCTTCTGCCTTCTCAGGATGTTTTGGAAATGTGAGTCTGGTCATTCCAGACTGCTATTATGGCTTGTTTGGGCTTTGTTGAAGTGGTACTTCTCTGCAAAATTTTTGACTTCTATCCACTTGGCAAATGAAGTAGGGTCTTCCTCTCTTCAGTACCTGAAGAGAGTACATCCATCAGTGTCTTGTGCTCTTCCTCCAGTTCCTGCACCTCCTCAGTGGTCAGCTCTTCCCTGTGCCTCTCCACTAACTCATCCACATCACCATCACTCTCATCCAGACCCATGGACTTGCCCAGAGACAATATCCTCCACTATAGTCAGTTCCTTTCAGCCACTGCCTCTGGCCACAAATTCCTTCAAGCAGAGTTCATTGTTCTGTATGAAACTTCCTGCCAGACTGTCGGTTATGCTGTGGGCGATAGTAGTGATCTTTCCAAAACTCGGGGTTAACTCTGAGGTCACTTCAAAGCACCTTTGGAATAGAGCTTTAGTGTAGAGTTTCTTGACATTACTGATGACCTGCTGATCCATGGGCCGAATGTGTAGTAGTGTTAAGGGGGAGACACTTTACAGTGATGAAGTCAAACTCCAGCAGCACAGTCCTGCAAGCTTGGAGGGTGAGCTGGAGCATTGTCCATTGAGGAGGTCCTCGAGAGGTAGGTTTTTCTCTAAACTTTTTTTACACATGGCACAAACACAACTTGCTCGACTCTTACAAGTTCTAACATGCAAGTCGTATTCCAAACTAAGGTAGTATACCAAGCAAAAATTTTTGTGCAAACAGGTCGTATACCAAGTTGGACTCATTTCAAGGTGGACATATACCAAGGTCCGCTATCGTATTTGCCATTTTCCACTTGCCTGGCGCTATGCCAGTTTGTAGTGATTGTTGAAAAGATTAGCCAAAGGTTTGCTAAGCTTCACTTAACATTACTTAAAACCCTTGCATATAGTTCATCAGGGCCTGGAGATTTGTTAGGCTTTAATTTGTCTTAAGGACCATGTCACTTGTGCCCTAATCGTGCATAGTTTGTTGTCCTGTTCTACATAATTTTATTTCTAGAATATTGCTAGTATTTTCCTGTGTAAAAACAGTAGTGTTAAAAATTCTACATTTCGTTACCACTGTCTGTGAGCTGACCCGAGTAACTTAAGTGGGCCTATCTTGTCTTTAATCTTATTTCTGTATACCTGAAAGAATCCTTTTGGGTTTCTTTGATTCCCTTGACTTGAACCTTATTATTTCTGCTTTAGTTATTCCTTGTTTTATTTCTGCTTAACTGAATGTTCATGTTGATTTCATAACTGCCCCTCTTTTGATACACCTACCATTGAGACGTTTTAATCTATTTATGCATTTAGGATCATTTTTATTTGATCCGATTTCCCTATTTCAGACAGTTGTCTGAGCATTTAGAACTATGCTCTGGAGAATGTCATATTGGCAACAGTCCCTTCCTACCTGACCCAGTCAGATCATTCCAGTTCAATCCACCCAGGTAATTTTCAGTCCTATGAAGTCAATCAAGCAGAAGTCAGGGACAGATTGATTGCCATTATTAGGGTAATTCCACAATATTAAAACTGAGTGATTTGTGATCACTTTCCCCAAGCTCGCCATTAACCTCTATTATTAATTGGCGTTTCCCTGCTGACAGGAACGAAGTCAAGCAGGTTATTTTGTCTACTTAGTTCTGTCACAAACTGCTTTAGAAAACAATCCTGAATCTTATCAATAAAGTTGCTTAACTCTTTCCTGTCATTGTTCTAATGAATGTTAAAATCTCCCATTGCACAACATTTTCATAAGTAGATGCCTTATGAATTTTGTCCCATAGAAATTGATAGGAAAGTACTGGTTTGGTAATAGTTGAGAAAGTGGAGAAAACTTCAGACTTTAAAACCTTGTGTAGTTTTAAAAATAGGTTAGATAAATACACGAGTGGGTGCGAGTTGGAATAGCTTTGCATGGACCAGTAGGCCTGCTGCAGTGCTCTTAATATTCTTAACTATTAACTTCATAAATGGCTAAGAATTTAGTTTTAATGCCAAATATCGATACTGATGGTAGTTATGCTGTCAAATCAAGATTTGGTAGATAATATCCTTGTTAATCCCTGAAGGAAGAACTGTTCTTTCAGTTTCATGCCCAGGTTACACTAACTATTAAGGGAACATCATGTGTATCAAAATGAACTTTCAACCTGGGGTAAGATTGCCATAGATAATTTGTAGTTTATTACCATGCCATGTTTACCATTGCTATCATGGAAGCTAATTTATGATCTTTCCTTTCCTCTGAATATTTTTGTTTTTGATGAAAGTTGAATTCCCTTGAAAGGTACCTTGATACTGGTTAAGGGTTTTTGTTCCAAGAAAATGGAGCAACCTACGATCTTACTCTCACCACCTGTTTCCCAGGTGCTGCATGATGCAGGTTTAGTGCTCCTTGAATGACTGGCATGAAAGTAGTGCCTCATGATAGTGTGTAAAAACTTTTAAATCGTTTCAGGTGCCTGACAATAACTAAAGAAGAGTGAGCAGGTTGACACTTGAGGATGAACAGCAGTGAAGCCAAAGCTTGCAGGATGACTAAATTAAGAAACACTGTAGAGGAACGAGTGAAAACCTGGAGCTTTAAATGATAAGTTGAAATAATCTGACTTGTGAATAATGGAGGATAATTATTGGTCAGAGATGAACATTTACATTATAACTGCACCAAGATGCCTCACGGGCAGCTTACCAGACCTGGTGGCACGTTGGAAGAGGATTTTGGTTTGCTGATTAAAACCAGCACAGGTGAGCACACAGTTATACTTTCCATATAACTTTTTTTTTTTTTTTTTCTATAGTCTGAGCAAGTAATGACTGATCACTGAAATGTACTTATTCAGCTTAAATCAGAAATGCTAATTACCTATCATTAGCTACAGGCATACGAGATAGTCTCATTATTCTGTCTTCCACTCTATTTGTTTTACATTTTTCTTACCCCTGTTAAGGTACAGGTTGACCATCACTAATCCGGCATCATCGGGACCTGTAGGGTGCCAGATTAGTGATTTTTTGCTGGACTAGTGCTTAGGTTAAAATACACTTAACCCAACAGCGATATTTACATATTGGCAATTTCACCCACATTATGCCCCCCCCCTTTTTTTTTCTCCCCATTCCATTGTTCCAATCTACCAAACCTGTAGGAAGAGATGCCAATTTCAAAATAGGGTCCAGAATAAACAATGCAGATATTCCTGGCACTAAAAAATTTTGTTTGAGTCACATTCCCAGACTCCTCTTATTTCTCTTTCCATTTTGAATTTTTATTCACACAACAATAATTTACTGTTATGCAGACTACTGCATTATTGTAATAGTATAAATATCAACCCATTTGTGACTATTAGACTGGCCAGTTGGGACACGTATTTGATGGTGATATCATTTGTTTACTCTTGAAAATTTGAAATTATGCTAGTCAAAATTAGTGCCGGATTACTGGTGGCTGACCTGTACTAAGTCTTGACTCTTGCATCCTTTAATAAAATTGTTAGCACATTGCTAGTGTACTTTCTTCAGCAGTACACACATTAACTCCTAAACTGTTGCATACTCAGACAAAAAAAAAATTTATGCATGATAAGATTTTTGCTTTTTCTTAGAATGAAAGTGAATGGAATAAAGCAATAAAATCTGATGTATTGTGTGTTTGAGGAAGAAAATTATCTTTATTGGCAACAGTGGCATAAATGTGGCAGCAACAGTTCTCGATTCCAAATAGTTTATTTACTTTTAATGTTTAACACCTAGATAATGATACATGTATATTCTATTGAAGAGGTGTTAGCACTTCAAATAACAAAGGCACAATACAGTGACTGGAACAATACATAAATAACCCGCACATGTGAGAGAACTTTACGATGACTCGGTCCAATTTGGATCATTTACAAAGTCACACTAACAAAGGAGAGGAGGAGACAGTATATATAGGCAAGCAGACAGGTATGAGACAAGGAAGGTAGTAGGAAATGTAGTAGAGGTAGCTGCTGCTGTTCTTTTCTTGTTTAAGAACAAGGCACAAACTTTTTTTTGTTCATTAACACCTTGACTGTCGCAACCCCAAATCCTGAGGTCTCCTGGTGTTGTAAAATTACCCCCCCCCCAAAAAAAAAAAAAAAAATAATAAAATTAATATGAAATGATAATCTTTTCCCGATTGTAATGATGCCAAAATGAAATTTGATAGAAAACTGACTGAATTACGCTCTCGCAACGTTAGCGACCTCGGCGATATTTACGAATCGGTGATTTTGCACACTGAGCCCTATTTTTGGCTAATCCATTGTTCCAGTCGACCAAACTCGTAGCTATTTCTTTAGAACTCCATTTTTTCTATCGAATGAGTAAAGGAAACTGCCCATTTACTGATTTAAACTACCTAATAACAATAGTCAGAAATTTGCAATTTGGCCAATTTCACAAATTAAAAAAATGACTATTTCAAAATAGGGTCCAGAATGAACAATGCACACATTCCTGGCTCTAAAATAACATTTTCTTTGTTCATCAGTCATGTTTCCAATCTTCTATTTTGATTTTGGTTTCTATTTTGTATTTTTATTCAAACATTGCAGACTACTGCAATATTGCAATAATAGTATAAATAATGTCAACCTATTCATGACTGCATATTAGAATGGCTACTTGGACATTTATTGGAAAATGACATCATTTGTTTACTTTTGAACATCGGCAAAAATCAAACATTTCCACTACTTAAGAGCTCCATTTCAAGATTCTTTTCATAGTAAAGCCAATCAAAATCACCTCTATTTCTATAATGTTTCCCATTCTATCAAATGAGACAAAGAAAACGAGAATATAACCATAAATACTATACGAAAATAGACCACAAATTCGGCATTTTAATTAAAAAAAAAAAATTTTCTCGATATGCACTGCGTGCTGCAGGATTTTTTATAGTGCACACTGACCACACAGACCCATTTTCTCACATGTGGGCCTACCAGCATTCTCCTGCTCGATTTGAAGCCACTAGAATTTGAGTATATATACGTCAAAAACTTGCTTGTAAGATGTATATATACGACAAAAACAGTCAAAGGGTTGATCATGTTCTCAGTGATCTTATTTTACCCTTGGTCTTCCATTTTTTAAAATTAATAATCACACAAAAATGTTCTATTTCCCAGATAATAAAATATAACCAGGAATGGTTGGTCATGGTTTACAGCATCCCAATAATTGAATCTGACCTATTAACCTCTTTCACTACAGTGACCCTTGCAAAATTGCTGACCTTGCACAAAATCCCACATTTAATGCAGACTTTTTTTTAGTTAATTGAAGCTGACATTTCAGTGAGTTTTGGTTTACTGTAAACCTAACTTTAGTGCTCCATAAATATCAATCTACATTTTTTACTTGACCCTTCTTCAGTGCTTTATGATCTGTTTAGTGCATTTTGCTTATTGACTCTTATGGTATGTTATTTTAATGCAACTGAATGCCACCCTGTATCACTATTGAATGTACATACTTGGTAAACTATTTTTATAAAAATCTTAGTTTTCTGGTCTAATAAAGCTCTCGTTGAGTTAACTTGACAATGGTTCAGGATGGACAAAGGTTGTCATGAGGGTCCTCTGAGTGCTGCATTTTGATAACCCCTCTTATTGCTCCTAAACATTGTTTATTTCTTTTCCTTAGAAACTACTATTTAGTACAGTGGACCCCCAGTTCCCGATGTTATTGGTATCCGATAAATCCGGTAGCCGATGCATTTGATCGAAAAAAAATTTGCCTCTCTTCCCGATACAAAACCCGGTATGTGATACGATGTGTACGAGACGTGTCCACGTGTGGCCTGAATTGCTGTGTGTGTGTGCCAGTGTTTACAAGCCAGCCAGTGTGCGCATCTAAGGATACATTCGGTACATTACACATTATCCATATTATCACTGTTTTTGGTGCTTGTTTCTGCAAAATAAGTCGCCATGGGCCCCAAGAAAGCTTCTAGTACCAACCCTGTGGTAAAAAGGGGTGAGAATTAGTATGGAAATTAAGAAAGATTTTGAAGGGTTTGGGGTTAACCCTGAGAAGCCTATGCCAGTTGTGGAATCCATTGTGCCTACTTCAAAAATTAAGGAAATGTGTGCAAAGTGGGTTGAACTGCAAACCTTTATGGATGAAAATCGCCCTAACACAGCTATTGAAAGCTGTGCTGGTGACTATTACAATGACAATGTTGTGGCCCATTTTAGACAAATCTTGAACGGGAGGTACAGACCTCTGTGGACAGATTTGTTGTGTGACAGAGGTCCAGTGACTCTCAAGCTGGTCCTAGTGGCATTAAAAGAAGTAACCCCAAAAAAGGACTTGCTACCTCAAGTCCTAATGGAAGGGGATTCCCCTTCTAAACACTAAGACCATCCACACACTCCACTCATCCCATCCCATCACTCATCACCAGATCTTCAATAAAGGTAAGTGTCATGTAACTGTGCATGTCTTCAGTTTGTGTATTAAAATTAATATTTCATATGGTAAAGAAATTTTTTTTCGTACTTTTGGGTGTCTTGCACGGATTAATTTGATTTCCATTATTTCTTATGGGGAAAATTGATTCGCTTTCCGATAATTGTGGTTTATGACGAGCTCTCAGGAACGGATTAATATCGTGAACCGGGGTCCATTGTATATATAAACTTTAGAAAATTATATTTCAATAAAGTAAAATTGAATTATTGCCGAACCTTTTATATGTTCAGGTTTGGCAGAGAAAAAATGGTCAGGCATACACTCTGACCAAGCATCATTGCTTTTTTCAGTTATGCTTCCTGATACAATATTATAGTTTGTGATTTATTCTATTGTATTTTTTAATCCCATTACTGTAAGATGGGAGCAGGGGGCTAGTAGAAAATACTAAATGTAAAAAAAGAATATTGTTTTTGGGTTGCCTTACTCCAATGGGAGACATCTAGAATGTTGGGAAAAAGTGTTGGTTTGACTGTTTTAATTATATGTATGCTCTAGTAATTTTTTTCTTATAGCTTGTTTTACCTTAAAAATTTCAATCTGTTTAGTTTTTCTTCTATCATTCTTCAGAATGTTTGTTGCCTAATTTTGCAAAAAAAGTTCCCAGACTAAATTTTTTAAATTCTAGTCACCTGCCAAACTAGTTAACCTTCACTTTCCCCATAGAATGGACTTGATAGGTTATTCACTTCATTCTTGAAACATTTTCAGTATGCATCAGTTTAACCAGTTAGGCTGTTTTTTGTAATACGTATTGTACATTGTCATTGCTTCACATAATGACGATGTTAAGTTGATATATTTATCTATCCTGGATAATGAGGATGTTACTGTAAACTTTCCAGTAACTTGATATGCGATTGTGGGGGGGGGGGGAATCAACTAAAATATACATGTGATCTAAGTAATAGTGAGTTAATAATAGTGAGGCCGACTTGTTGAAAAAAAAAAAAAAAAAAAAAAAAAAAAAATTCATTGAACTTGTATTGTCTTCACTGAAAATGGTGTATATGGTTTTTACATTTGTAATGAAAATGTGTGAACATGGTTGCTTACTAGTCTTGATTTCGTGTGGTTTACTCTGGTTTTTGTGTACACTAAATATTGTCTTGCGAAAAAAAATGCTGCTGATTTTCTTTTATTGGTATTGTGCACTCCTCATTGATAGTAGTAATTCAAATATGCAAATAAGAGTAATTACCATAAAGCAGCAGGTACAGTAATATAGTACTTAGGTGTAGTGTATTTACATGGCAGTTGTTTGAACTACCAAAGACAAAATTTGTAAAATTTTCTGCTCTAATGTGAAAGATAAATTAATGTATTTTGCCTGTGATTGTAATGAGATTTTTGAGCCTGTGGCTTGCAGCAAATGGTTACTTTAAAAACAGTGACGAGTTAAGTTAAAATGTTCAAAATAACTTTAAAAACCATTTTTGCAGAGTGATGAAAGAATATTAATTTGTTGGATTATTTTTATGCAGACAACAGGTATAACCTCAGTTTCTTTTCCTAGGTTGTAGAGCAGTAAGCCTTCAGTGCCAAGATCTACTTGGATCTTTTAATGGTGTGCCTCTAAATTTCATATTAGAGCAGGTTAGTATTTCAATGTAATTATTAAAATATACTGATGGTTAATCCATAAACTTGTGCAGTTTCTGATGTGAAGGCTCGAAGGTGACTTTCGTGAGTTTTGTCAACCTGAATGCTTCCAGCATGGATGAAATTACTTAATTTAAATTGATTTTTTTTCCTGTTCATGTTTTACGTCTTCATTTTTCACTTGTTAATTTTTCACTTGCTACAATTTAACAAGTTAAATCACAAGTGTAAACACTAACAAATGTTAATTTACATAAATGGCTTTTTTTTTTAAAGTTGGCATGTCAGTCAGCTTAAGGGTTTAACCTGATTAACCTGAGATTTGGCACCCTGTACTGTCAACAAGATCCTAAATAACCATGTGGCTATTACTGGTGTAGAAGGGAAATGCTAAGTCAAGTATGGTCTGGTGTGATTAGGTTCCTGATATAGGAAGATTGAAATGTGAAGCCTCCAGCTCCTATCAGTGATTTGTCATGTTCCAAGATGTCTACGGAGTAGCTAGGCTTGGTTCCCTAGCTGAAGAATTATGCCAGTTACTGAATGTTTTGCCCAAGTACCAGTGAACTGTGGGAGAAAGTATTGCATGACTTCCTAACCAATTTCCAATGTTCCTTCCAAGGTAATAAGCATTTGTGATGGTTAATTCCAAATACTATGAGTTAGTACATATTGCAGATAAAACTGTAGAGGCAGTAGCTGAAGCATTTAAAGGACTTAATCATTTGCAGATATACTTCAGGTAATGGAGAAGTGGCAGATGCAGTTTAATATAGACATATGCAAAGTTCTAAATGTTGGACAGGAAAATAACCATGCCACAAACTAAATGTAGATATTACAGATTGCAAAAAAGATTTAGGAGGTATGGCTAGCAGTAATCTGAAACTGATAACAGTGCATAAGTGTTTGCAATAAAGCTAACAGAATCCTTGGCTTCATAGCAAGAAGTATGAATAATAGAAGGCCTCAGGTTGTTCAACTCTATATCTTTGGTTAGGCCTCGTTTAGATTATGCTTCGCAGTTTTGGTCACCATATTAGAAAATGGATATAAATGTACTGGAAAACGTACAGAGGAGGATGACAAAGTTGATCATGAATCTGAAATCTTCCCTATGAGGATAGACTGAGGGCCCTGAATCTGCACTCTCTAGAAAGGCTTAGAATTATTGGGGAATATGATTGAGGTGTATAAATGGAAAACAGGAATTAATAAAGGAGATGTAAATGGCATGCTAAAAATATCTAACATAGACAGGACTCTCGGCAATGGTTTTAAATTGGAAAAATTCGGATTCTGGAAGGATATACAAAAGCACTGGTTTGGTAATGGTTGTGGATGAATGAAACACTACAGAGTACCGTCATAGAAGCTAAGATGTTGTGTAGGTTTTAAAAATAGGTTTGAAAAATGAGTGGGTGCGAGTTGGACCTGACTAGCTTGTGCTACTGGGTCGGATGTCATGCTCCTCCCTTAACCCCTAAACGGTCCAAATGTATGTGTATGTTCTTGCGCGTAGCGCCCCAAACGTAAATATACGTTTTAATTTTCCTGCCTCCAAATTTGGCACGATTGCCTTGAGATGCCTGGTCAGCATAGAATGGGTCTTAACACTCAGTGTGCACCATATGTTAAAAAAATCTGGGACCACTTAGTACCTTGTGCTCTTTTTTTATATGTAGTTTTTTGTCAATATTTGGGGCGCTGCGCAAGTGAATGTATATATACGTTTGGACTGTTTAAGCCGGTTGGAGAATTGGACCTGCTTCGCATAGGCCAGTAGGCTGTTGCAGTGTTCCTTAAGTTCTTAATGTAAATCCAATTAATCAATTCCAAACACCCAAAAATATTAAAATACATTTTTTAAAGAATAACTAGTTTTACATACAGAAAACAATGAGAGAAATATAAAGCACTAATTTTTACATACAGAAAGCTGTATAGCCCTTGTGGCTTAGCGCTTCTTTTTGATTATAATAATAATACATACAGAAAACAAAGAAATATAAAGCACTAATTTTAATGATAAATGAACATTACATACCTTTATTGAAGACTCTTGTTGGCATATGGAAAGAGAGGTGGGGAGAGGAGTTTGGAAGGGGAATTCTCCTCCATAAGGACTTCAGGTATCAAAGCCCTCTCTGGGGTTACTACTTTCTTTTACTGTCACTAGGACCAGCTTGTCACTGTACCTATTGCACAGAAAATCTGTCCAGATGGGCCTGTTTCTGGGGTCTGTAAGATTTGCTTAAAATGGGACAAGACGGTCATTGAACATGTTGTAAACACGGCTTTTAACAGTTGTTAGGGCGATAATTCTTTGCAAAACTTTGCAACTCTCTACTTTACACACATGTCCTTAATCACTGAAGAAGGCACATTCTCCTCTCTTCCTCCTCTGAAGCAGTATCCTCTGCTGCAGTCTATTGCTGTTAGTTGAATGTGTTGCAGCTCTTTAGTGGTTAGCTCTTCCCTGTGGTCCTCCAACTTTCGTGTCCTTGCCACTCGCATCGAGCCCCATGGCCTTCCCCAAAGACAAATTCCACAGTAGGCATAGGGTTGTCAGGGTCAGCCTCAAACCCATCAAAACCCTTCTCGAGGACATATTCTGGCCACAATTTTCTCCAAGCACAGTTCAAAGCCTTGGAAGTCACTCCCTGCCAAACCTTATCTATAAGGATTATGCAATTGAGGATATTGAAGTGATTTCTTCAGAACTCTGGGTCAATTCAGTGTCAGGTCACTTCAAAGTACCTTTGAAACATTGCTTTGGTGTACAGTAATGGCATAGCTGAAAGGCAAAACAAAGTATTTTCTGCTTTGTGAGCATCAGTTAGTCCTAGCAGGAAAATATAGTATTAAGCAAAGCCTAATGTTCAGTGTGCAATTAAATTCTGCATACAATGTCTTGGTGATGCTGTATATTATGCTTTGTATGGTGTAGGTAAATGTCTGGTTTAGAAAAACACGTAAGCAAATACTAGGATCTTAATTAAAAAAAGTTACGGTCCTGGGACCTTGATCATTTAGTGATCAAGGTACCAGGACACCAATATATTTTCTAATGTCCTAGTGCTTGCTTAGTTTTTTTCTAAACTTGTTGGTATCTATTACCAAGGTTTATACCAGGTGAATGTCTACCCTAAGGGTTGCTGTACTCCAGGCCACACAAGTGACAATGACTGCATAATAACTTGTGCTCCTCAGTGCAAGGGATCTTTACAAGTCATGAATGTGCAGACAAACTAAAATTAGTCAGCTTGAGTAGTGTTAATTTCAATAGGACATTTGCTGATGACACTGTGCTCTTGGGAGATTCTGAAGAGAAGTTGGAGATTGGTGGATGAATTTGGTAGGGTGTGCAAAAGAAGAAAATTAAAAGTGAATACAGGAAAGAGTAAGGTTATGAGGATAACAAAAAGATTAGGTGATGAAAGATTGGATATCAGATTGGAGGGAGAGAGTATGGAGGAGGTGAATGTATTCAGATATTTGGGAGTGGACGTGTCAGCGGATGGATCTATGAAAGATGAGGTGAATCATCGAACTGATGAGGGGAAAAGGGCGAGTGGTGCACTTAGGAGTCTGTGGAGACAAAGAACTTTGTCCTTGGAGGCAAAGAGGGGAATGTATGAGAGTATAGTTTTACCAACGCTCTTATATGGGTGTGAAGCATGGGTGATGAATGTTGCAGCGAGGAGAAGGCTGGAGGCAGTGGAGATGTCATGTCTGAGGGCAATGTGTGTTGTGAATATAATGCAGAGAATTCGTAGTTTGGAAGTTAGGAGGTGCGAGATTACCAAAACTGTTGTCAGAGGGCTGAGGAAGGGTTGAGATGGTTCGGACATGTAGAGAGAATGGAGCGAAACAGTGACTTAGAGTGTATCAGTCTGTAGTGGAAGGAAGGCGGGGTAGGGGTTGGCCTAGGAAAGGTTGGAGGGAGGGGGTAAAGGTGGTTTTGTGTGCGAGGGGCTTGGACTTCCAGCAGGCATGCGCGAGCGTGTTTGATAGGAGTGAATGGAGACGAATGGTTTTTAATACTTGACGTGCTGTTGGAGTGTGAGCAAAGTAACATTTATGAAGGGGTTCAGGGAAACCAGCAGGCCGGACTTGAGTCCTGGAGATGGGAAGTACAGTGCCTGCACTCTGAAGGAGGGGTGTTAATGTTGCAGTTTAAAAGCTGTAGTGTAAAGCACCCTTCTGGCAAGACAGTGATGGAGTGAATGATGGTGAAAGTTTCTTTTTTGGGCCACCCTGCCTTGGTGGGAATCGGCCAGTGTGATAATAATAAAAAAAATCTGCAGTGACAAATCTTGATTAGTTTGTGGGCTCCTTGTTAAATTACTAAACGTGCAAGTGGTAATAAGTACAAAAATGGAGAAATAAGCAGTGGACAATGCAAAGCTGGTTTGTGATTTTTATTATTTTTTTATTATCACACCGGCCGATTTGTCAACCAGACTGCAGAGCTAGTGCTTGACAGTCCTACTGACCTTGTACCTTTAACCACCTAAGTAGCACACGTACTGACTAGCTAATTGGTCCCGACTGGTGATTAGGACACTTCTGGTGTCTGGCAACGTTTCTAATTCTAATTATGATTTCTGTCACAGCAAGTGTTAGCCATTGAATTTAGTACCCCTGTGGTCAGAAACACTAGACAAGTAAATCTTGCTTTAGTAGAGTTGAGGTTAAATATGAATACCTTTTGAAGAGCTTCAGTTATCACTTAATGTAGTATAGCAAAACCCAAAGATTGTAATCTTGGATTGACTGTCAAATTGCAGTTGCTGTATGCATTGCCTTGTATTCTACCATACTGTAAAAATAAATTAGTGTCTATTTTCATTGTTGCTTAGGTAAGTTATTGTGACAAGTCAATTTACATGTCTCGATCTGTTTAATAGCGAATCATTATTTTACATAGATTATCATTGTCCTGTGAGTTGTGGACCTTAACATGAAACTTGTGTGCACCAGGTTACCCT